GCTCTGCCGTTTGGTGGGACTCTGGAGAGAGTGTGAACCATTTCGGGCCTCCCGCCTGCAAACCGTGCCGCCTCCGAGAACCCCGTGGCCTCTGCGCCCGGGCCCACCGGCCTCTCCCCTCCCCTCCTGGTCGTAAGTGGCCTGCAAACCGTAGTCTGACCGGATGGAAGGCCCGGCCCCTCCCTCGCAGCTGGAGCTGCCAGGCAGCCTCGGGGCGGGAGGGGCACAGAAGGGGCCGGGCCCCGGGGCGGGGAGCGGAGAGCCAGGGCCCAGGAAGCCTGCCCCGGGCGCACAGCCCTCTGCCCCCCGCTGGGCCCTGGGGCCCGGCCTCCTGCCTTCCAGGGCTTCCCGGGCCCGCGGAGTGGGGAGGAGGGGCGGTGGGCACAGCGCAGACGCGGGGCCCCTCCCTGTCCCGGCCTTTCTCCTCTGGGCCTGAAGCGCCGGACGAGCAGGGCCCGCGGCTCTTAGCCCCCCGGGTCTGGTGTTGTCACCCCCCCAGCCTCTGAGCCTTGGGCCTCCCGGCGACTCCGGGCGGGGCCCCATCCAGCAGGTGGGCTCCTCCGACCGGCCCGGGCCTTCGGTTTCTCACGGGGCGTCCTGGGAGAGAGGAGGGGGTTGGGATCGGGGCCTGGTCCCCCCGGGGCCTCGGCCTCGGCCTCGGCCTTGCCTGGGGCGCAGCCACGCCCGCGGTGGGGGATTTGACGGGGCCCCGCGCGGCCCCCACTCCAGCCGCCGCGCCCTCCAGCTTGCGGGCCGCTGGTGTCTGTCCTAGAGAAAGAGGCAGAAGCGTGGGCGGGTGGGCACACGGACGGACGGACGGACACCGCGGCGGGCGTGACAGGCTGCGGAGTGGGGTGTCCCCGGTGTCCGTCCTGCCGTGGGCTGCCGAGTTCCCACGAGGGGCGCACTTACCGAAACCCCTGCACGTCCTCAGAGAGCGGTTGCTCTGCTTTTGCTAAAGGGGGACCCTCTACGAATCTCTAATAAAGAGGAGACACGCTCATGCTGTGGTATTGAGTGAAAAATAAGATTTAAAGTTATATATACTACAAACAAGCTGAATGAACACTGTTTGTTACAAAACGCCACCTTCGCAGGTAACTGCGTCTTATAATCCGCGCCCTGTGCCGTCCCAGGACACACAGGGAGAGATGAACGGAGCGGAAGCGCAGCCGAGGGTGGTCGCGGAGACTCGGCCGTGCCCGGGCGGGTGGGGCTCACGCCGCCTCCGCCTTCCCGCTGCGCGGCAGCAGCTCCGGCCGAGCAAACCGACCCAACGCCCCTTGTCGGACGGGCACCCTCTTGTCCGTCCAGAGTGGTTTCGTGGCCACCGCCAGCCTCGCTCACCTTTCTGTGTCCCCGTCACCTGACCCACGCACGGCCTCTCCTCTCTCGGTCTGCAGGCCGGCCCATCCCGTCCACACCCGGGTCTCAGTGGCCAGGGACGGCTGTCCCTCTCAGTCCTCATGCGGACTCCTGTGTCTCCCTCCGAGACTGGGCCCCGGACCCCAGGCTGAAGTTCGCGACTGGGACCCAGACGGGCCTTCCCAGGGGTCCCGGGGTCTCCGCCCCACAGAGGCCTCCCTCGCGTCTCTGCTCAGCCCCACGGCTCCTCACGCGGGAGGCTGCTGGCCGCCCACCCTCTCAGGCCGACGGGCTGCGGGGTTTGCTTTTATGGCCCCCTGCACCCCGCTGAGCCGGCGCCGCGCGCCCCTCTCCGGAGCTCGCTGTCCCGCTGCGGGGCCGCCGCCCTGGCTGCTCCGGGCCCCTCGGCCCACAGCTGCCAGTTCTCAGGAGGGAAGGGGCAGGTGGGCCCGCGCTGGTTTGGCAGGGCGCTGCCGAGGCGGCGTGTTGGTCCCCCACGGCCCTGCCTCACGTTCCCTGGGCGTATTTTAACCCCGCAGGTCTTGGGGGTGGGGAGCATTTCCATCCTTCTCTTTCTCTCTAGATTCTTATATTTACTTAAAACAACAGAGTAAAATAACTTGGGGGAAAAAACCCCACCTTCTACAAGCTGCGTCTGACTTCGTTGCTCTCTCCCTCAACACCCAATGTCCCGTGCCCCGAAGCTAACGCCGTCAGCACGCGGGCACTTGCGCGCTTGGCGGTGCCGTCTGCCCTTGCTCGGGGGCTCCCCCGCCTCCCTTAGCCGGGGGGCTGTGCCGGGTTTGCCTGAACAACAGGGGCAGATTTAAGGTCCATGCTACTGGTGAGAACTTAAGACCAGACTGTGTACACAGCCCTTCAGAAGGAGAACGTCCCACTGTTCTTCACAGGTGGATGAGGAGCCCGAGGTTATGCCGACACCAGCCCTGTGCCCTGCACAGGCCTGGCCCCGGCGGCGCCGACGGGCTGGTCCCAGCTCTGCTCTTGGATGGGCCACGCCCTGTTTCCGGTCGCAGGGAGGACTGGGCTCCCTGACCTAAGAGCCACCGCGGCCCCGACTGGGAGGCGCGTCTCCCGTCCACAGGGTGCAGGGCGGTTCCTGGGCCGAGTGCAGGGGGCCCTTGGGATGAACCCGGCTCCCAAGATGGGGGACGGAAACGGGGGGAGGGGGAGCCCGCATCCCGGGTGCCCTGTTGTGCCTGTTAGTCACCCGAGGGGGTCGCCCTGCCCCTGCGCTGTCCCGCCGTGTCCCTGGAAGGCAGCCCTCGGCAGGGCGTGGCAGAGGGGCCCAGAGCTGCGAGACATGGGCGCAGGCAGCCGCAGCAGGGCCTGGTGGAGCGGCGACAGTTACCGTGGTTTTCAGCTTCTGTTCGGAGTCCAGCGGCGGCCCAAGGCCTCTGGCGCTCAGGACACGGGGGGCCAGGGACGGGTCCGGTATCACCAGTTGACAAAAGCTGACGTGAGCGGAACCAGTCCAAGGACAGTGGTGTGTGGGAATGGGGTGAGCCCCCCAGTGCCTGCAGAGGCAACCGCAAGGGGGGCTGAACCCCGCCTTTCTGGGAGCGCGGGGTGAGTGGGTGCAGCACTTGGTTTTTGCAGAGAGCAGCGTGCGCGCAGGACTCTGTCATGACGGGTCCCCAAGCCCAGTTTCCGGATGGTGGAGAAGGCCCGGACAGCTCTTACACCGGACCCTCTGCAGGGGGGGAGGGGGGGCACATTAGAAGGCGGCCGGCCCCGTCCTGCAGCCTGGCTGTGGCCTGGCCGGCAAGAGGAACGTGCTGTCACATTTGTGGGCACCTACAAATACATGCACATGAATTAAAAGCTTGAGCTGAATAGTAACACAGGCTTCGTATCTGCAGAGCTTTCTGATGTTAGGTGAGAAAAAAAAACCCCACCAAAATCTTGCCAGAACTTTTGCATCAAAGAGAGAGGAATTTGCTAATTGAAAAAAATGGCTTGCATGGGGGAGCGTGCGGCGATGCCAGCTATGCAAAGTAACATATGCCTGGATCTAAAGGGGACCCTGCCAGAGCAGAGGAATCGAGCAAACTAGGATTAGGGGCGACGGCCCTAGACGCACACTGGGGAAACCACTCGGGCGTCCGCCTTTGTCTCAGGAGGATGGCGCGGACCAGTTCAGAGGCTACGGAGCCCGCGTCTGGAGGGCCCCAGGTGGGTCCGCGGGCGCGGGTGGGCGGGGCGTGCCGTCCGGCCAGGTCCGGGCGGGTTTTACCGCAGGGTCCGCAACGCCAGCCCCGTAACCCCGCCTTCGCCCAAAGCCGCGGGAAGCCTCTTCGTCAAACTCTCTCGAGCAGCTCTGGGCTTGCGCTTCAGGTGGCCGCTCGGGCTTCCCCACGGGCGACCCGAGGGCTCGATCGGCACGGAGAAGCCTCCGTCCCGCCCCCCAGCACGAATGGCGCACAGCTGGGCGCGGTCTGGGCTCCGCTGCTGCGGGCCGGGGATCGCCAGAAGGAGGCTGGCCGTCCCAGGGCCCCGCGTGGGTGGCCGGGGGTGGTCGCAGGAGCCGCCGGGACGCGCGCCGCCTGGCGGTGGCTGCTGGCGAGCAGCGCTGAGCCGGGCTCGGGGCCGAGCAGGGTGCTCGGAGGAAGGGTCCGTCCTCGGCCCGGGCAGCCCGTGGTGCGCCGCGGAGGCCGCGCGCGGTGGGTAAAGGCGAGCGCAGGGCTGCGCTTGCGGGACCTCAGGACCAGTTCACAGGGCGCTTCCACGCGACCGCCTGGATGTCCCGAGCAGGGGCTCGGAGGCGACCTGCCCGGTGCGTTGCACCAGAGCTAGTGGGGCGTGGGGTAGGGGCCGCTGGGAAAGAGGGCCCGCTGGGGGCTAGAAAAGTGTTTGGCAGGTCTCTCCGAGAGCGGTCTACCCGTCCCCAGCGGCCATCAGTGCCGCCTAGCGTCGGGGTCTGCAGCCAGCATCCCCTCCGGGGCCCTGCGCCCTTGACCGGAGTCGAGCCGGGCCGAGAGCGGACCTTGCGCGGTCCCGGCTGGCGCCCCCAGCCCCGCCCGGCGGCAGGACGTGCTAGGCTCGTGCGCGGCCACCTGGGCCTCCGCTCGCCGCCGCGCGTGGATTCCGGCTCCCGGGCAGCCGTGTGTGTCTCCCGCGCCGCGGCGTGCGCACCGTCCGCCAGGGCCAGCGGCCTCCAGCAGCCTCCCGGGAGTCCGGGGGCGCGATCCGCGGGAACCCGGCCAAGCGCGCCCTCGGCTCCCCGCGCCCCCGCCCGCCCCGCCTGCCCAGGGGCCCGGAGGCGCGGGCGCGCAGCCCCGGGGAGGGTGCGGGCGGGCGGGGCCAGGAGAGGGGAGCAGGCGGGCGGGGCCTGGGCCGAGGTCCCGGACGCTGGCGGGCCCGGCCGAGCCCGGCGGGGGCGGCGGCGCGGCGGCCGCTCTGGGAGGGGAGGGCGGCGGGCGGGAGGAGGGGCTCCCCGCGCGGGGCAGGGGCGGAGCGAGCGGCCGCCGCGGAACCAAGTGAGTTCGCTTCGGAGCCCGCGCCGCCGCCGGCCCGCACCTCCGGCGCCCGCCGCCCCCGCGCCCCCGCCGCCGCCGCCGCCCGCGCGGGGATGCAGGATGCTGGTGAGCGCCGGGCTCCAACGGCGGCGGCAGCCTCTCCTGTGGCCGATGAATGCAGACCCGCCGCCTCCGCCCTGGGTCTGGATGGTCCCCGGCTCGGCCGGGCTGCTCTGTCTGGGCGCCGGGGTCGCGCCCCAGCCTGTGCTGCTCGCCGCGGCCCAACCCCCCGCCGCCCCGCTGCTCCGGGGGCCGCCCGGCTGGCAAGCGCCCGGCGAGCCGCTGCTGCCGCTGGTGCCGCTGCCCTCTGCGCCAGACCACGCCGCCGCCGCCGCCGCCGCCGCGCACCACCTCCCGCTGCTCCACGGGCAGGTAACGGGTTCCCGTCCTCGGCCTCGCGCGCCGGGGCTCCGCGTCCCGCGGCCCCCTGTCCCTGGGCGCGGCCCTCGCCGGTCCGGGCGGCCCTGGCCTCGGGGCTCGCGCTCCCCAGCCCCGGGCGCCCGGGCTCCCCAAACGCCAGGACGCAGCAGAGGCAGCCGGGCTTCGGCAACGAAGTTCCTGCTTCGCCGTCCCGTTCTGCCTCCAGGCAGTGCTCTGAGTACATTTCGCGGTCTCTCAGCCAAGCCTGGTAGAGACTCGCCCCCGAGGCCCCGGGGTGCACCCGCGGCCGCAACTTGCGCCCGGGCCGGGGCCGCTGTCCGGAGCGCGGTGCTGAAGTCGCCCCGCCGGAGCCGAGCGTGGCCGCCGCGCACCGTGGCGACTTATCGCAGAGAAGTTAATACTTTTACAGTCTCCACCAGACTTGAGAAGCGAGCCGGGAATCAATAGCTATTTCTGATTCTGATCTGGCTGGGGTTTTTTTTCCTTGTGAAAATAGACTCAGGACAATGCTTAAGAGAATTCCAACCAATGGAAGCCGGCAGGGAAATCCTGCCTTTAACACTGAGAAATGTTACCGGAGAAGGAGCGCCCCGCCCCCACGCGCCCCGCCGCCGCCGCTCGTCCCAGGCCCGCCCGCCCGGGCCCACCTTGGTGGCCAGCCGAGCCGTCCTTCGTAATCCCGGGGCGCTCGACCCCCGGAATTAGGGAGAAAAAGTGACTGTACCTTCAATTAGTGGCGCAGCCGAGCAAGGCAGGCTGGTTTGGGCCGGATCCATTGTTTGCTCCCTAACTATGCAGATGCATTTAAAGCGGGAATGACGCGTATTTTATTCCAAGGGTAGTCTTCATTAGCATATTCAAAGGAGCGGTGCGTCGGACTACACCCCTTAATTAATGTTATTCCGATATTGCCTCGTGAGCCCTTCCAAGAGATGTTCAACTCCCCTGGTCTTCAGACCTAACGCTCCATCACGCAGGCAGGTCCTGGGTACGAACCTTCCTGTGCGATGCGGCTCACACTGGGTTTTGGGGAACAGACGTCGGCAGCTCCTGCTGCCTTTTCAGAGGGTTGCTGTTCCGCAGCGCCGCCACTGGGGGCGCGTGAGGCCCGGGAGCCACACATTTTCCCTCCTCTACGGAACACTGCATTTCCCCCCGTGTAAATGGAAAGGAGAACAAATTTAAAACCATATTAATCTTTTAGATATTTTTGTGCTACATGTCTTCTTCTGTTCAATGACAGTGTTTAGAACTAAAGGAACCTTTTCACACAACGGGAAAATTAAGGCAATGCTTTTATGATTTCATAAGAAATAGATGGTGAAGCATTCCGGCTCGCTAGGCAGTGATTTTGTTAGTTCTTGCCTGATGAAGATCCGATCATTTTAATTAGGGGGGCCGTCTCCCTAATGACCCAGCCCTTCCCGCACTTGGTCTTTTATTTCCTGCTTGGGGGTCTTTGGCGCGTGCGGAGCTCACCTGCGTCGTCTTTGCCTTGGAATCAGTTTGCATGTGTGAGCCTTGGGCAACTTTAAATCTTAACCGCTCGGCTAGATTTATTTTGAAAGTGCTGTTTGTGTTCGTCTTGACAATGGTGAGAATAGTTCACACGCGGGGTGGTATTGGAAGGGCCCGCACGGGGTGCGGCCCTCGGCCTGTGCGGGGAGGGCAGCGGAGGCGAGAAGGGGGCCCGCGCGCCTCGCCCTGCCCGCCGCCCGCTCCGCGCGCCGGGGCTCCGCCGCGTGTCCTCCGTGTCGGGGGGGGCGCCCTGCGGGCAGTGCTGTGGGGTGATTCTGATGCACGAACGTCAATCTTTAAAATTTGTGAAAATGGTGGGGGGTATTTTGACTGAGGAAAAGGGAATTTTTCTCATAGTCAAATATGTATATTTTTAAATGCCCTCTGTTAAAAAAGGCGCCATTCCGGTGCCTTCTGGTGCGGAGCAGGGCTGGCCGACGCGGACTAACAAGCGCCTTCTCTCCCCTGTGTTGCAGTGGCTCTTCGGGGGCCCCCCTGCGCCCCTGGGCCCGCCCCCCACGCCCGCGGTGGAGCGGGCGCCCCTCGTGCCGCGCGCCTGCCCGCCCGCCCTCGCGCCCGCTGTGGGGAAAAGCTGGCTAGACAAACGGACACCCGCTTGTAAGGTAAAAACGCGCGTGGCTTCGGCGGATATAGTTCCATAACGACGGGAAACTGTATTTTCTCGTTGCTAATTGCACTACGGGGACCATCTAGGTGTCAAGAGAAATCTTTTCGGAATAAGATCTGCCTGTTCAAAACCACCAGCAGATGGTGGGGAGTGGGCATTTTGTTTTGGTTTAAAACATTTGGATTCCACAGAACAATATACATTTTTCGATTGAGAATCAAAACCTGCTTTTCACAATTTTCAGTTTTTAATCTGGACCAATCGATCGAAAGAGAGCCTTAAACATTATATAATTCAAGTATAAGTTTTAGTAGTGAGATTTTCTTGCTGTTATTAAGTGTTCATCTTCCCGAAGGTTTGCTTTGGGTTTTGAATTCAAATTTACTGACTATACTTTGTTTAATTGAAAACTAAAAAAAATAAAATAAAATAAATTAGCGCGGTGACGTGTCTACACCACCCAGCTCACTGGGGCGGTTCTGTAGTCTGTGGAGGGGTTGCTGGGCTGAATTAATCAGGTCGGTAGTGGAAGACCCACGCGGACAACTCGAACCGGACGGTGATTGTTATTGGAGCCCCGTGGGTCTTTAGGTTGGAGAGCGAAGCTTTTATCGAGTCCCCACTTACAGACTCTCCGATACTTGATCGGTGGGAGACAAGATAAGCACTTTGCAGCCGTCTTTAGCCTCTACCACGTGTGCGGTCTGAAATGTCATACCTGCTTTCTTTGTGGACAGGTCTTTTTCAACAATTCCTTTGCCCTGGACTCGGTGTGGATGCCTCCCGAGGACTCGAGGCTGTTCCGCGGGTGTGACAAGCCTCGCTTGCTGGCGCGCCCGGTGGCTCTGTCCCTGTGCCGGCCCGCGGCTGCCTCCCGGCCGCTGCCCGCCGTGGCGTTACCGCCGCAGCCTGTACCAGGTTGGTGCCCGAACGGGGGTGGTTGCGTGCGTGCCTCTCCTTTTTGTTTTAGCCAGAAGTTAGTTTTAGGTATGGAAACTATATTTGCCATTTTAATGAAACTGTTGTTTGAAAAATTCTTTCAGTAATATTTTTCTTTCTGTGGGCATGATTCCGTTGGGTAAAGAAACTGAATTTGGGGTAACTTCTTGCCTGTGTTTTTGGGGTATGGAATTTGTTTTAAGGTGAAGAGATGGCCGAAGGATTTGCCCAGAAACATATTTTTGGTCCTTTCTTTTTAGAATTGGACCAGATCTTCACCGGTAGTGCTTACGAGGGGCACGGAATGATCAGGAGACTCATTTAAACCTGTGTCCGGCGTGGGGCGAGGCGCGCGCTGCAAGGCCCCCGGCCTGCAGGGCGCGCAAGACTGGTGGATTCTGCCCGCACGCCGGGGGTGGTGCTGGGCGGGGCCTGTGGACACACACCGTGTGGAAGGTGGATTTTGTTCTGCCTTCTGAGTCTGGCGACCTGAAAGCACGTCTGTCCTGGAGAGAACCCCCAGAAAATAACCCCTGGATGAAAGATTGTGTAATAAACCCGTTTAGCACCAGGAGGGTAAAATCACCTTATGAATTTTTAAATTGATTTTTAAAATCACCTTAACACACGATCATATCATAAAAGCAAATGTTGCCTGTGCAAAAATTATCCTGCAACACCTTCCATTATGGGATGTTTTATGGCTTCAGAATCACATTAGCCTCCTGTAATTTCCTACCTACCCGCTTGTCTCAGTGTGTGTCTCTAAGTCGTAGGAACAAGGACATGCCCCTGCCAAGGTGGCGTGTGTGCCGGCGGGTGAGGGGGCGGCTTTGTGCGCGTCCCCGTGTGCCCACCTCAGGCGCCCTCGTGTGCGCCGGACCGTGCTGAGCGACGAGGCAGGAGGGGCGGCGCCCGCCTTCGTGTGTTCGGGAGCCCTAGCGCTGCTTGGCTGAAGGCCGCCGTCGGCCCTGCCCCTGGGCACCGCGGAGGCACCTAAGTCTGCGTGCGCGCCATCCCTACCTGCGCTTGTGAACGCTTTGCGCTGCGCGGCTGTGTTACCGTTTCATGGGATGGCGATGGAGGGTGATCGGCCAGCAGGCGGGGCACACGGGTTCCGTGGCTGCAGGTGGCTCTCAGGGTCTAGGTATGAATACTATGTGAGTGTCCTAACGCATTGGCAATAACTGTGGCCAAAATAGTTAGGAATTTAGTTTAAAAATAGATAAATTAGCTCCGGGGTTCAGGCAGACTCCGAGCGGGCTCCCTGCCTCTGGCTCATTCCCGATGCCCCGGGGGCGCGCCTCAGCACGCAGCGCGCCGTCGCCCTCTTCTTAGAAACCGTACAGCGGGCGTGCTACGTGTGTAGCTGAAGAGGCTGTCGACGTAAGGAACATCCAAACCTATAGAGAATTTTTAGTAAGGGTTTATTTGATGGCAGTTGCCGGGAAGCAAGGTCTCAAGTGCTCCAGGGAATAATGGCTTTGCAGTCTCTTCGACGCTTGTGAAATGGAGGAGGGAACAGAAGGAAGACCGGAGGAAGCGGTGGGATCGGATTGCCCGAGGGTTATAAGATCACGTGTTCTCCGGAGGGCGGTGACACCTTTCCGGGGGTGCTGCTTCGGTCCTTCCAAAGGTGTCTGCGCCCAGATGCACGAGAACACTGGGCAGGGCGGGCCCCAAGCCTTTCACCAGGGAAGAGGGCAGAGGGGGAGAGAGAGACCCGGCTGACTTTGGGTGGGGAGCAGAGGCTGCAGACGATGTGTCGCTGAGCTGTACACTTGGAAGCTGTAGGGTTTTATTAACCAGTGTCACCCCAGTGCATTCAGGAAACAAGAAAAAGAGAAGCTACAACGCGTGACTCTGCCGCCCGCCCAGCCCCGCTGGGGCGACGATGGGATCGCTGCACTGGCGGCCCCTGCGGCCCCGTTCCCGTTCACGGCTCTCCCTTGCGGTTATAGATCCGCCGGAGGGATGCGCCGATGACCACCAGCCTTTTGGTTGGATAGAGCGGGCTCACGGGCGAGGTAGGCTTATTTCTGGGATGTCTGAGCAGCGCGCAGTCTCGTAGAAACGGCGGGCCCCTGGGGATGGGGCCATACCACGCCCACGAGACACGAGGCCGAGCTCCCCGCAAAGGGAAGGGCAGTAGGGGAAGGCTTCGGGTCCCAAGTGTTTCATTGCGGAAGCACTGATCTTCTCTGTCCTGTGAGCTGTCACAGTGTGAGTTTTCCCTGCAGTCTCATTCTTTCTGCGTCTGGCATCCAGTAGGGCGTTTTTGTAAGCCGTGGGAGCATTAACAGCTATTTCACGCGTGTTCAGCAATCACGGACAGTTGGACTATATGGAAAAAGCCACGGAACAATGATAGCCCTTATCAGGACTGCTGTCGTTAGCAGACACGTAAAGATGGCCCATCGTTTCCTGCGTGGAGCAGCCATCGGCGGGCACGCCGGCCGCGCGGATGTCGCGGGGTGGCTGCCTCCGTCTGCCACGGGCAGCCTCCCCCTCCCGAGGAGGCCCGGACGCCCGCTGCGGGCGCAGGCGCGTGTCGGGGACGCGGGGAGGCGTCCGTTCGCGGTCAGGCGACGATGCGGCCCCTTCCAATGACGGAGCGTGTCTTTTATTTGATGTCCTCTTTAACAAACTTGATCTCCAGGTGGCAGTCAGGGAGCTCCGGGGCCTGCGTCTCCTGGGAGCGCCCAGTGAGGGGAAGTGGTTACCGAGCCGACATTCCCTTGAAGTGACCGTGTCACCCTCGACAGGCGCTAAGATGCCTCCTTTCAATCGTGTCGACTCCGAAGTTCCTTCGTGCGCATCCAGCCTGAAAGCCGTGTGGAACGGGGTGGCCGGGGAGCCCGGGAAGGGGCGCGCGGCCCTCGTGGGTTCCCCGTGGCTCTGGCTGTTGCTTTAACTCACAGCCGTCGTTGACCTGCCCAACTACCTTCGCCGTCTTCCGTCACTCACTTTACAGTGGTTCCCATGCAGCTTCTCACACAAACAGACTTGTGATGTGTTCCAGGGCCCCTCTGGAACACTGCGACGCTACTCCCATGCGGACTGAGGTGTTAACCCGTAAACCTCAATTTCTAGTGAAAACTAAGGGGTAAGTAAGCAGCGTTTTTTAGCTTGGCAAATTGAGGAAGACAGTTTATAGCTCCTACAGACGTGTGCCGTAGTCACCATCAAAGTCAGCTATTAACGCGGACTTGTTTTTGTAAACCTGGGGAAAAATACAAATATGACATTTATTGTTCATAATTCAAAAGACATGCCTGTTCTTAGACCAACACATTTAAGCTAGCTTTTCTTTAGAAGGATTAACCTGAGATCATGTGAACTCAAAAAGCATTGTATATTTTTCAGAGTTTTAGACTACCCAATTCTTACAAGAACCTGCCTTTAGATTAATTTTAACACTATCATCTGGAAGTTAAAAATTATCTTATGTTTACAATATTCGTAGGTAGATACACAAAGACCGACAGAAACAGACCTTTTAGCCATGAGAGGAACTCACTAGTTTATGAAAGAACAGTTGGGTCCAATTTTTGTTTTGGAGGCATTCATTTTATGATTCCTATCTTTCCTTGACAAGTCAAGTTCCAAATGACCACCCCCTCTTCAAACAAGGATGGCCACTTTTAACACCCTAATGAATTGGGCCGACACCTAATGCCATCGTGGGTTGGTCTATTTATCTAAATCTTCCTTTTGAAGCTTCGAGAGGCCGATCCAATACGCCTTCCTAACTTCCCGGCCAGCGGTGTCACTGTGCGCGCAGCGGGGTCAGATGAGAAGGAAGCAGAGGGCCCCCCCGCCGTCTGGTGCGGGTGGGAGGTGCCGGCCGGCGGTCGTGGGCTCGTCCGCCCGAGGGCGCGATTTCCCACGCTTTCCCCGGGAGCCGAAGGTGGAGGAGACCCCTAGGGGGCTGCCTCATGCCCTAGAGGGTGACAGGTCCTAGTCCCCAGGAACACCCGAGCAAGGGCCAGGGAGAGAGTGCCGGACCCCACGCCCGAACCACGGGGCTGCCCAAGTCCCCGGCCCCTCTCTCAGGGTGAATGTCTTTTTGTGATTTAAAAAAAATACCCTCCACAAACTGGGTAGGGAAGAAACACGCGCACCTCAGCAGAAAGGCCGCAGGCGACAAACCCACCGCTGACATCACAGTGGTGTATGATGTCAGCTCTTCCTCTAAGATCAGGAACAAGGGCTCTGGCCGCTCCTCTTCAAACCAGCACTGGAAGTCTTGGGCAAAGCAATCAGCGAAAAATTAAAGGCGTCACATCAGAAAAGAGGACGTAGAGTTGTCTTTATTTGCAGATGATGTGATATTATATCCTCGGAAATCCTAGAGACTCCACCAAACGCTGTTGGAATTAATCAACACATTCAATAAAGTTGCAGGATACAAAATCAGCATTCAGAAAACAGTTGAGTTTCTATACAGTAACAACAAAATAAAAAAGAAATAAAGAAAACAAACCCATTCACAACAGCATCAAAACAATAAAAATACTTAGGGATACATTTAACCAAGGAAGGAAAAGATTTATACAATGAAAACTACAAGACTTTGACAAAGAAATTGAAGAAGACACAAACAAATGGAAAGATATCCCGTGTTCATGGGCCAGAAAAATTAATATTGTTACAATATTTATACTACCCAAAGCCATCTATAGATTCAGTGCAATTCCTATCAAATTTCAATGACATTTTTCACAGAAAAAGAAAAAAGAACCCTAAAATACTTACAGAACCATAAATGAGCGTGAGGAGCCAAAGCAACCCTGAGAACTCACAAAGCCGGAGGCGTTGCACTCCCTGACTGAAACTAGCACAAAGCCGCAGCCATCAAAACGGTGTGGCGCCCGCTGAAACACAGGCACACGGACGGACGGAGCGGGAGAGGGCACCGGAAACAGCCCCGCCTACGCAGCCAGCAGTATTTGACAAGGGGGGGGTGGCTTCTGTGA